ACAGACAAATACACAGACACATACACGTGGACACACTCAGACACACATACACAAACGCAAATACACAGACACATATACACAGAGACAGTCTCAGACACACACACACACACAATCAGATGTACACACAGACATACACACAGTCACACACACACACACACACACACACACACACAGGCACACATACACACACAATCTTTTACAATTACCTATACTCACAGTCATACAAACACAGAATCATACATACACAAACACACCTACACATACATACACACAGGCATACCACACATATACATGTCACGCACACGCATAAATACATATCAAACACACTTTATTTAATTTTAAATTCAAATCCTCTGAGCGAGCATTATCTTGAATTAATTGCTGAATTTCCATCTCCGTGGCACCTGCTGGCCAGTCTCTGCATTTTCGACTCAGTGTGATTATGACCCTACACAAGTCTGACTGTTTAGGTGGCACTTTGACCCACTCTTCTCCTCGCCTAATGTTCTCAAGGGTGCAAACCTGTCTGATTGTGTCTTCTGCCTGAGCCATCCATGACCTCCCTCTTATCAGCCGCTGATCCTTAACTGCATCCAGAGCTTCATGCAGAGGGTGGTCTGTGACTGCAGCTACCCTGAGATATGACTCCGCCTGCAGCACCTTGTGCCTACCTGCAACAGTTGGCAAACCAAGGATGTATCGTATACACACCACTGGGGTGTCTTTGGTGCAACCCAGAATGACCCGCATAGCCGCGTTCTGTATGCGCTCTAGTTTGTCCATCTGACTCTTTGAGGCGGTAAGCAGTCCCAGGCCATAATCCACCACTGACAGGATCAGGTTCTGATGTGGTGTGAAAAGCATTCTCTGCTCTATGTCAATTGCAGCCATAAAAAAAATTCTTGCCTCTTTACAGCAACTATCTTCTCCAAGACCTTCCTAAATGTGTTTTGTAAGGTGATGATTCCAAAGCCACTGAAGTTTGAATTATCCGTAAAAGATTTTGGTAATGGGATTAGATAGCTATGCACCCAGTCCTGCAGTACTGATGCTGTCTTAATGCTCTGGTTAAAACTGTCGGCCATCTCTGCCAGGTCTGCATTGCTTAAAGCCTTTATGTGAACATACCTGACACCATCAGGCCCTGGTGCAGTATCTTTTGCCTTTTTCTAAATGTGTTTGAAATCTTCTACTCTTATCATGTCTTCATAATGCAAAGTCTTTAGGGTGTCAGCTAACTCCTTTCTAAATGCATCCCTGATGTCTACATCATTGTATCTGTCTGAGCTATAAACCTCTGGAGAAAAGTCTCGTCAGTCAATAAATACAAATTACCTCCTATGTTGTAGATGTTGAACAAAAACCGCATCTTGTCAGTCTGGGTTCCATAAACAAGGGACCGTAACTCCCCAATCAGGAATCGTAGACTGATTTCTCCGCTGCTATTGATGTCGAATATTTGAAAACATCGATCTACAAAGAAAGACTTTAAAAAAAAAATAAAGAAAAGACGTGATAGGTACAAAGGTACTGGCGCGCATGAAATCTCAAATGCTGACAATGAAACTCAACTAAGAACTGAACCATTGACTAAGCTAGGCCGGATTAGACCATAAGTTCCAAGTCAATTCAAGTCATCTGTTTCGTTGTAATAGTAACAATTCAATGCTCAGCGCACACCAGATATCCACTTTATGTAATCGAACAAACGGAAAGATGTAATGACACGTTTGCTTGCTTCTTTAAATTTATATGAGTTCAAGTAGAGGTGAAATACACAACGATGAGCATTTCGTAAATAGGTTCCATCGAACCAGCATTTAAAAATTACTGCTTCTCATCAGTAGTGATCGAATCAATAAAACACATTGTTTCTTTACAATAATTATTATAATGTTCAAAATAATAATAGGACACTAGTTTTGTTCACAGAGAAAACACATACCCACAAACATACACCCGCGCGCACGCGCGCGCGCGGACACACACATACACACAAAGGGATATCATGGCAGCTGCTGTCTAGCATATTTGGTCGTACATTGGTTGTTTCCTCACTTGTGGGTCAAGAGACGTAAGCACTGTTTGCGTACTTAAAAGTTATCAAAATTGGCACCTGTCGGGGTTTTCATGCTTGGGTGCATACAAATCACAACCCATGCCGATTTCTAATGTGACCAATGACCCGTTCGCATTTTAAAAAAATGCCTTCTATAATTACAGCATAAGATTTTGCAACCACTGTTGCCATTGCATCTAAATAGTTTGTTTCTTCTCAAATGTTGATCTTTCAACCTATCTGCAGTTTTTTAACCGTTATTCTCATTCCCAATCTGACTTCTCCCTCTCATTTCCCAAATAACATGGCTCATGACGTTTTCTTCACACGAAGCTACCTCAATATCTGTAACTTTTATGTCCGCTTGCACACATCTTTATCGTTGTAGAGACCAACTTAAACATCTTCTACCCATCTGTATTTCGTCATAGGGGATGTCCTTAGGGATTCTACCATCTTCCATCGCCAGGGTGGACCCAGCCACCCGAGCCTTCCAGAGACTGAGCATTGAGAAAACTGTTGTAAAACCTGCTCTCTCCAGTATCTCAGTGTTTGTGATCTTGTCCTGTCACTTAATGTCAAGTATTCTTTATAGGCATCGCAGGTGAAAACTATTTAGCCCTTTCTCTTAATGCGAATAAGTTGATCAATTTTCACTACCGTAGACACACATTGCACTACTTCCTCTGAGTGGGTGGTATCGTTTGCAAAGAACAGGTCTGTAATAAACGCCTTCCGAATCCTGGTTTTGGCTTTCAGTCTACTAGCAATATAGAGGATATCTTTGGACTGAGAATGGATAAGTATACCGCCGTCCAGATCTCGAAAGGCATATTTCAATAGGAGTGAGAAGTATATTCCAAAAAGGGTTGGAGAAAAATCGCCTCTTCACTCCATTTTTTATAAATACAAACTTCTTTGACTTCACAACATCAAAACTGATTGTAGCCTTTCTTGTCTGTTTGGGACAGCTCAACGATTCGCCGTAGCATTAGTGGACGTCCATTCTTCTAGAGCATTTGGATAAGAACTTTATGACTAACCAAATCAACCGCCTTCGTTAGATAAATAAAATCAATATATAGTGGTTGATTTTGTTAATGAATAATAATTACAATAGTAACAAACGATGATGATGATGATACTGATACTGCTTTGAAATGCAGATAGAAGATCAGAAGCCCCTACTCTCTCCCTTGGTTATCCCACTCGGATAACGCATACATTTATATATTATTGATGTTACATGCTTACCTCCCTGTGTGGGTTCTGGGACCCCATTGTGGGAAAAACAAGAACAGAACGGCTGTCTCCCCAACAAGCAAATAGGTCAGATCTGTAAAATGAATGTACACTCAAAACTCATGTTCTGGAACAAGTCTAAAGTCTAGAGGTGGGCGAACAACCAGAATTTTCTACCAGTGAACGCGAAGAAGAGAAGAAGACATGTTTACCTCTTTGGCTTGAAGAGCTTCTTTAAACTTGGCCAAAGTGACGATCTGAGTTCCTCCTGTCACCATAACCAGTTTAGATTCCAGCGCTTCTAGCCAGATTTCCTCGGGGCTACTGAAATGAATGGGCATGAAATGTGTTTGTGAGCGTGGTCGGTCACCGACTGATGTCTTCGACACAATAGAGGGATATGTCGAAAGGTAGCATTATCCTCAGCGGCGCCGATACAAAGAAAACAGTAGGGTGGAAGGAATGAAAGGAATCAGCCTCACTACAAACTTTCTCATGAGACACAAGCCTTGTACCTTCTTATGTCATGAGACATAAGCCTTGTATCTTCTTATGAAAAGTCCGAAAGCCGTGTGCCGTTGGTAATCAGTCCTTTCCAGTCCTTTGTCTCGTCTACTTGCAATCAACTCTGACACAAATGATCTTCCATACCATGATGTCAGACTGTCCAGCATCTTCTCTCTCTGTCTGCCTCTACCTCTCTTCTCCCTTCCAACTGTTCTACGGTCACGATTTTTAAGTAATCAATAAAATAACATAATAATCATGTGCAAACAAATACATTGAAACTAATTTGATACGTATAACACACATTTTTAGAAGGAATCATTTATAAATGATGGGGGAGGGGTAATTAGCCCTTAAAGACATTTCGCTGATATCCTTCTTTAAAATTGTTTGGCGGGCGGGGGACAAAGTGCCCAAGCCTCGGGATAGTGCTAAGTTTCGAACCGGAAGTGTGTTCGAACCAAATCCTGCATAGTTTTAGGCTGATTCAGGGTCTTGTCAGAATAAACATTCAGACACCAACTGACACCATGTGAGTCTGAGGAACGAAGAGATACAATCTGAAGACTATAAAATATCAGATGACACAAAAACTGTCGACTCAGTGCTTAAGTTAGAATCGCTCTTGAAAAAGGAATTTGCTTCTCAAAAATATTGACAGAGCTCCAGGTGGATTTTGTCTGACATGAAAATTAAGAAGTGACATGACAATAAAGGTCGGTGCCATATTTGGAACACCTCACGTTTGTGTCCGCATGGCGAAGAGTTATTTCCCTTTCCATTCATTCGCGGTGGGTCACAATGCCTGTCCTATGTTGTGGAGGTTTTATGATATGGCTTTGTTCGGCGTTCGCTCGCCGTATATACCTTTTTGTGGGAGGCTGTGTTGTCGTGAGACTCTTTGAGCCGCCGACGGCGCCTGTGTACAAGTAAGAAGCTGGGAAGCGTCGCAGGCGTGACGGTTGGTGAGTACTGAAACTAGAATGGTTTTTTTTTCAACGTCCATAACGTATTTGGCTTTCACCCATAAAAAGGAGCGACCGCCAAGGAAAGTATAAAAACAAAAACATCCCAGTTTCGCTCCTCACGAATCTTCGGGCAACGTGCCAATAATCTCGCAAGTCAGCGGTGACAACGCGAGAAAAGAGAAAACGAATGAACCGTTAAAAATATGTAATACATGACACCCCCTACAATATAAGACAGGCCGTGTGACCGGTCGCGATATTAATGGAAAGTAAAGTAACTCTCACAGTGCGCACAGTATCGTGATAAGAACTTGATATTGATCACTTAATAGTGATGACTAATCTATAAGAATATAGGTGTAGAACCATATACTAAAGAAGATGAAGTTCCTTTTACTTAAGAAACCGTTACCTGACACAAAGCGGCATTACTGATTCTTTTTCTTCTTCTTCAGCATTCTGAGCCCTTAAGGTTCATTGCTGCAAAATTTCACCCGCCTCCATTCATCTCTCTGGCTGGCCTTCTATTTCCAGTTGGTATCACTAAGTGTTTGCAGGTTTGTCTGGATATTATCTCTCGATCTTCTTTGGTCTGCCTCGTGGTCTACGACCATTATTCTCCTTTGTGTATACAGTTTTTGTTTGTTTGTTTATTTGTTTGTTTAAGTATCAAGAAGCCACGAGTTCTTGATCCTTAGGCTCGGTATTATGGATATCGCAACCTTTTGGCCTTGATTCCATTGTAAATACCGTAAATCTGGGAGAAATGTGGCTTTTCTGCCTACCTCCGAGAATGAACCCGGACCACAATGAGTTCGTCACCCGGTTACCGCGCAATCCGGTTTAGCCAACTACGCTAGATAGCCGGGCATATACAGTTTTTTCTTTTCGGTCATCTGACATTCTTTTAATATACCCCAACCATTTCAGTCTATTAGCTCTCATGATGCTAGTGATCAGTGGTGATTTAAACAGATTATGAATTTCGTTATTGCTTCTCACTCTCCATTTCCTGCTGTTTGCATCTTTGATGGGTCCAAAGATTTGTCGTAAGACTGTTTTCGAAAACCTGTATGAGGGCTTCATCTCTTTTAGTTGAACTCCAAGTTTTAGAGCGACTGGTTTTATTAGCGTTTCATATATATTGATCTTAGTGTTGCGAGACAAACACTTTAGCAGATGTTAAAGGGCATACATAGTATACTTTATTTCTAGATTGTATTCTAGATAGTATTTCTTCTCTCAGCATGTTGGAGTAGTTAAAGTTTGCACGCAAGTACTTGTATGTTTACGTTCGTTTGATTTTCATATAATCGACTTGTATGTGGCTGGAGTTTATATCCTTTCCCTGTCTAGTAATTATCATGTATTACTGCAACAGACGAAAATTAGCAAAGAATGAGCACAAATGCAATGTTACCGTAAAGAGCAGTCAATGATTTTTTTTTTTTTTTAATTACAAAGTTGTGCTTCAATATTTAAAAAATTATGAAACTGTATAATTTCTCCTCTATGCATAGAAAAGAATTGAGTGATAAATCAAATTTCACAGATAGTAAATGAAAGATGAAAGGAAAAGAACAAAATATAAGAACATAGTCAAACAAGTATTGGAATAGTACACTAAAAGGCTAATGAAGCCTGACTAAACGAGGGGTAAGGGTTAATAATCGTCTTTTATTTACCAACTTACTGACATAAAAACACGAAATAGCATTGGCTAGTATTGGCCAGTAGATGCAATGTATTTTAGCCGAAAACTGGCATCAATAAGACTGGCAAAGCGAACAGTTTCAGAGCTTCTAAAAAAAGTATATTTAGATAACAATAGAGAATCCTCGCTGATAAAAGAAGGTCCTCAGTTAGTCTGTAAAGAAGAAGAGGACTCACACAACACTAAACAAGCTGGATATTGAGGAATAATGTCTACATCTAGAGGCCACCAACTTGACAAACATTTCTTATAAACTGCTCCTCAAATTCATACAAACAATGGTTTCAGGTTGTTGTGTTTGTTCCGTACAAAGTATAAAAGGCGAGTGTAATCTGTGTTACTTACATCAACATGTCGCTTCGCAAACTTCCTTTACTGGTGGACAATAGACTGGCTTCTGATGTTCCAGATGGCGATCTTGACATGGGATGACCATAAGGTTGACCATTTATAAACAAATCTTGAGAACTATTCAGTTCTGCAGGAGCCGACAAGAGAAAGATTCCGCTTTCTCGCCTTGGCAGGTTAATTGTGGAGTGTCTAGAGATGTCATTTCGATCAGATGCGCTTTTGTTCTCATTGTCAGGAACAGAAACCCGCTTGTGCGGCTTCGGTTGGCGTTTTTCTGGCAGAGGTGGCACCTTGACACCGACTTGGGAGGAAAGGTTTTTGCTTGCTAGCCCTGTAGCGTCTACGCCGTTTTCTGTTGAGCTATAGGATGCTGTTGGCGGACAGTACTCATTGGTTTTATGGGTTTGGTGGGAATTAGCAGCACTTTCACTGACTGCAATGGATTTTACTGCATCCAGTCTCAACTGAGAGTTGCATGGAACTGTTCTATGTGCATCTTCGTGTGAATAATTTTGTTGGCTATCATCTTCAGACGCCATATCGAAAGCTTTGTTGTCATATGTAATGTTAGGAACATTTATATTATCCTTTGATCTGGTGAGTACATCTCCATTTAGTTCGATAGACAAGTATTTGTTTCCTTTTGGTGGAAGTGCCATTCTATTCAACTGCTTCTGCTAACAGTCCTTAACAACAAATCTGTTTTACAGTTCCTGCATTAGTTCCGTCGTGCAACACATCTGTGCTCACGTCCTAATTATGTCTATATGTTTTTACATCTCGTGTCACTAAATGTAGCGAATGAACTGATTAACTGACAACCAGTTATCTTGCTTGAGTGCACTATACTTTAAGAGTCTTGTTAATGTGAGCTCGACGAATACTGCCAGTAAGTCCTTATAAACGGTGTTTATATACAGAATGTCTTGTTGAACGAAAGGACGCAGTTAAAAAAAAAATCACGCTTTTCCTGGTCTTGGCAAAGTCTAACTGCAGGTGTGCAGCTTTTAGCGGCTGGTGTCAAGTTTCCAGTCAAGCTGATCCCTGTAAAGTGTCAAGAAAGCACATGATTATTTCATACAGAAGTAACAACAAATAATGGGCCACCTGTCCCATGCATTCATTGTCTCCACTTCATTCTGTCGTGTGCAGTCGCTTCGATATCATAGAAAGACTCCAGTCTTCTTTCATTAGCATTCACCTGCAAATTTAGCTTGGTCGTACTCGTTTCCTCTGTCCCTCTTTTATCCAATGTCAGGTCTTTTTTGGCTATTCTCTATCACTTCTTACGATGTACCCAGTGTATCGCTATCTTCTATGTCCTATAACTGCGGATACTAATGGTTGCCCAAACATTTCTCTTATTTGTTCACGCCTCTTAAATTCAGCCCATTTGATGTCAATTATATCCCACAGGCATTGAGGTTTTAATGCATTTAAATTATGCTCCATATCTTTAGTAGTTTCCAACTTTCACTAGCATAGATTAAAAGTAAAATAATACTAGAACAGAAAAAGCCTAAATTGGTTCTCAAACTACATAATTACAAATTCTAACAGCTGACGCCTTGCCAGGGTGTAAGGGTGTGCTTGCCTTGCCAGGGTGTAAGGGTGTGCTAGCCTTGCCAGCGTGTAAGGGTGTGCTCGCCTTGCCAGGGTGTAAGGCTGTGCTCGCCTTGATAGGGTGTAAAAGTTTGCTAGCCTTGCCAGGGTGTAAGGGTATGCTCGCCTTGCCAGGGTGTAAGGGTGTGCTCGCCTTGCCAGGGTGTAAGGGTGTGCTCGCCTTGCCAGGGTGTAAGGGTGTGCTCGCCTTGCCAGGGTGTAAGGGTATGCTCGCTTTGCCAGGGTGTAAGGGTGTGCTCGCCTTGCCAGGGTGTAAGAGTGTGCTCGCCTTGCCAGGGTGTAAGGGTGTGCTCGCCTTGCCAGGGTGTAAGGGTGTGCTAGCTTTGCCAGGGTGTAAGGGTGTGCTCGCCTTGCCAGGGTGTAAGGGTGTGCTCGCCTTGATAGGGTGTAAAAGTTTGCTAGCCTTGCCAGGGTGTAAGGGTATGCTCGCCTTGCCAGGGTGTAAGGGTGTGCTCGTAAGGGGTGTAAGGGTATGCTCGCCTTGCCAGGGTGTAAGGGTGTGCTCGCCTTGCCAGGGTGTAAGGGTGTGCTCGCTTTGCCAGGGTGTAAGGGTGTGCTCGCTTTGCCAGGGTGTAAGGGTATGCTCGCTTTGCCAGGATGTAAGGGTGTGCTCGCCTTGCCAGGGTGTAAGGGTGTGCTCGCCTTGCCAGGGTGTAAGGGTGTGCTCGCCTTGCCAGGGTGTAAGGGTGTGCTCGCCTTGCCAGGGTGTAAGGGTATGCTCGCCTTGCCAGGGTGTAAGGGTATGCTCGCCTTGCCAGGGTGTAAGGGTGATGCTCGCTTTGCCAGGGTGTAAGGGTGTGCTCGCTTTGCCAGGGTGTAAGGGTGTGCTCGCCTTGCCAGGGTGTAATGGTGTGCTCGCCTTGCCAGGGTGTAAGGGTGTGCTCGCTTTGCCAGGGTGTAAGGGTGTGCTCAAGAGCTTGGCACTGCAGTCAGCAGTGTTAATGGCAGCCAACTTCTCTTTGGCGAAGTGAGACATCAAATTACATAGCCTGCCAATGACTTTAAAGTATCCAAGTCAACCCCACCTTCTCGTAGTGCACGCTGGGAAACTGAAGTCGCAAGGTTTCAGGCTAACGGAGCAATGGCTCGCCTGGAAGGAGACGGGCACCAACCAGATCAGTGTTTTCTTGCCCCGTCATGCGACGGACCTAGCAAGCCGACACTGGAGTAATCAACGGCTGATTCACAAAAAAAAGAATGCATTAAAGTGAAAGTAGCAAAATCAGAACCATGGCAAGACTATGGAGAAAAGTAGTAAAACTATGTACTGAATAACCAAGAAAGTTTTACTGAAGTATCAAAGCAATAAGACTGAGAGAAGGCACATTTAAACCACCCACTATAATAACAATAATAGCCACCCACCGGCAGTCAAGATATCACCAATAGTTGGACAGAATATATTCACGTACTGTTAAACTGTGCACCACCAGGCGACAGTTTATAAGGCCCTTAAACAAATGAGAAAGAACGAGGCAGTGGGAATAAATGGTATTATAACATAAATGCTTCTTGCATGTAAGGCAACAGCAACAGCTTTGTTGACCAGAATCTCTAACATGGCTTGGGGGATATCGAAGGTTCCAAGTGACTGGCAGAGAGCGGTTATTGTTCCCCATTTGGAAGAATAAATGGGGACAAACGAAACTGTGATACATACAGGGGTATCTCCATCTTGAGCCGTACTGGGAACATATTGGAATTTAGAGCTCGACCAGTACTACAAATCCAGTTACGTAAGAGAAAAATTCGGTTTCAGGAAGGGGAAGAACTGTACAGGTACAATATTTTCATTGACATGTGAGCGATCTATTGAATTAGTTACAAGTCAAGACATTAGGCTCGTATTCACAGATCAAGAGAAGGCGTTAAATCGAGTCAACAGATGCACACTATTGACAAGTCTAGAATATTTTGGTATTTAAGATCAACTGTTGGGTAACATCATGACTGTTGATCAAGAGCTAGTGCCCAGTTTAAAAAAAAAAAAAAAACACACACACACACACACAGAAGGAATGGCAAACTGGCTCCCCATCTTATCGGGTGTCAGACAGGGATGTGACCTCTCATCATTGCTCTTGATAATTGACATGGATAGTATTACAAGGAGCCGAATGCATACATTGAAGAAACCAATTAACTTGTTGTGTGTGTGTGTGTGTGTGCATGTGTGTGTGTGTGTGTGTGTGCAGAGGATCGATGTTTAATACACTATCAAGAGCAGAATGTACGACTCCTTACATTAAACCTGCATACAGTATGAATGGTATGACAATAATCAAGGCGAAAACTGAGGTAATGACAGGAAACATAGTAACATGGACGTTTATGTTAATGATACTAAAATTAAACAAGTACAAGAATTCAATATCTAGACAGCATATTTACAGACGATGGCATACTCGATAAACAGACAAAAGCCAGAATACCGAAAACAAGCCAATGATGTCACATACGCGCAAGCCCCACCCACTACTTAGACACCAAAATATCTACCTTCCAGAAAAACAGCAAAGGATTAATAACATCTACCTTCCTTCTTTATGCTATAAATGCAAAACATGGACAATAAATAGGGCACATAAACATGCAATGACTAAGAAAACAAAGAGCGACAGAGTTACGAATACCAGGATTAGGGAGAAAGCTGGAATATATTGACAGACAAACATTGAAATGGTTGGGCCATCAAGTCAGAATGCAACCAAATGAAAATAAAATTAATTTTTTTTTTTTTTTTAAACTGTAGAGCTGAATCTTGTACAAACATGAACAAATCTATCACCACGACATTCGAAAAGCGCAAGACAAGCATAGAAAATCACGACACTCGGCTGCAATCTGAAAACAGTGAGACGAGAAAATGAACAGACATTGGAGAACATGACATCATAGAACAGACACTATGAAACATGACATCATAGAACAGACATTGGAGAACATGACATGATAGAACAGACACCGGGCACCATAACATCATAGAACAGACACCAGGAAACATGACAACATAGAACAGACATTGGAGAACATGACATCATAGAACAGACACCAGGAAACATGACATCATAGAACAGACATTGGAGAACATGACATCATAGAACAGACACCAGGAAACATGACAACATAGAACAGACATTGGAGAACATGACAACATAGAACAGACATTGGGGAACATGACAACATAGAACAGACATTGGGGAACATGACATCATAGAACAGAAATTGGAGAACATGACAACATAGAACAGACATTGGGGGACATGACATCATAGAACAGACATTAAGGAACACGACAGCATGAAACATACACAAGGAAACATGACATCATTCAAGAGACAATGGGGAACAAGACATCACAGAATAGACACCGTTGACGCTTGAACTCACAAAACAAATTTGGGGGAACAGGACAACATAGAACAGACATTGGAGAACATGAAACAGACATTAAGGAACATGACATCACAGAACAGACGCCAGGGAAAACATGACATCATTAACCAGACAATGGGGAAGAGGGCATCACAGAATAGACACCGGGGACATTGAAATCACAAAAAAAAAAAATTTGGGGAACAGGACAACATAGAACATACATTGGGGAACATGACATCGTAGAACAGATATTGGGGAACATGACAACATAGAAAAGACATTGGAGAACATGACATCATAGAACAGACATTGGAGAACATGACATCGTAGAACAGACATTGGAGAACATGACAACATAGAACAGACATTGGAGAACATGACAACATAGAACAGGCATTGGAGAACATGACAACATAGAACAGACATTGGAGAACATGACAACATAGAACAGACACTGGGTAACATGACATTATAGAACAGACATTGGGGAACATGACATTATAGAACAGACAATGGGGAACATGACAACATAGAACAGACACTGGAGAACATGACAACATAGAACAGACAATGGGGAAACATGACATCATAGAATAGACATTGGGGAACATGACATAATAGAACAGACACCGGAGAAAAGGACATCATAGAACAGACA